AAAAAAAAAAAAAAAAAAATACGATCAAGTTCCATTCGTGACCTAACCTCCAAAAAAAACTAGTATTTTTGTCATTGATCAAGTACAGTATACTGCAAAATACAGAAAATAACTGTGTGCAAAATAATATCTATACATAAAGGTAAAAGAATCGTTAGAATCATATTTCTAACAACAGCCAAGTTGTAAGATAAAAGGAGAAAAGCAAATGAGTGATCGTGGATCATCCTGCCGAGGTACGCAGGTGCAAGGTTTTACCTCCAGCAGAGAGAACGCGCTTTCAAGATGTCATTGTTAATGTCAGGTTAGCTATTAACGCAGGTCAATCTTCTTTGTAGAAAAGTGGCAGCTATTGTAACTGCACACCATCAGGTCTAAAACTACTCGATGGGGTTTCTATGAAGTATGAAGGACAATCGAAACACGACAATCACTAAGAGGATAACATATCTGTCGTCCGGTTTGCGTCCAGCCGTTCATGAAAACTAAATTTAACTTGCACTCAGTTTGTTGCAACCACTCCTACTCCTTTCTAATTATACGCAGAGATACCTGTTGACCGTGCAACGAGAAAAAAAAGGTGGTTACGTCACGATAATAACAACCAGATGACGCTTGATTGATATATCAATTATATTCGTATTTTCTTGGATCATTCGGGAAATTCACAGGGAAAATTATCTAAAATTCAAGTAAAAATTTTCGTGGATATATGATATTCAATATCATCTCACTGGAAGAAACTATGTTTCAATACTTTTCTAGTATTCGGTTACAAACACTCGTCATACAATAAAAATTTATAATAAAACTTATAAATCTAATATATAGAAAATTCTGGATGGGGAAAATAATGCAGGAGAGAAAACGAGTGATTAGGCCAGAAGACGTCCTTGAACTTAGCCAACTGCCATATTTGTCTGGATATTTTTAAAATGATTTAAACAACATGAAAAATTTTGTAAAACACAGACTCAATTGTTTGCCACACAATTGGATATTGGAGTATTGCCAGGCAGATCACTTTTTCTTTTGGATGATGATTTATTCTAACGTTTCCTTAATGATTTTATCCTATTCTAACATAGTCCCAAATGTAATCCTTAATAGCTTGTAACTTGTTGCAGAATTATTTGATAATATTACACAAACTGTTGAATACTGAGTGTAATTATCATAGCACTTAAATAAAATCATTGAAAATGGCAGAAAGAGTCCATTTGTTTCAAGTCTAATCACGATCCCTTAACCCATTAAAAATCAAAGAATAATGTATCACAATGTTGTAAATACTCGAAATTTTTGGAATAAAACCAATTTTATTATTATATCTCTTCAAAGTAGGTTAAAACATCACATTAAGTAGGTTAATATATCACTAAATATACTACCAATCCCATATTAAATCGTTTAATAGAATACAATTTGCATTCGATAATTTTAAAATTACAAGTAGAAGTCCATAAGTTTCTGTAATTCAAGCAATAAGAAAAATTTGTAGGGTTTTCAAATATATAAGATATATATCAATCATATAAATATAAATAAATCTCAAAAATTCCCTTCTCATTAAAAATTAAAAGCTGTACATGTTGATCAATTCCATAAATTGAGATGAAATTAGAAATATTATTAACTAAAATTTATCTTGAATTTTGTACTTTTTTGTGAGAGACTTCAATTATTCTACTCAACCACGTACTTGCATATTACAACAATATTTTAATAGCAACTACGTAAATTTCGTAAACTTGTAAAATAAAAATAAATTACAAGTGACGAAGTTGCTCCAACTACGATCATCGAAAACAATCGCAGACTTTGAATAATTGACTCGCGTTAAATTTCTAGGTACGAATAATATCCTGTAATAAAACACCGGCATGGCCAGCCAAACAGATGATGGCGCCAAAATCTTTGAAATTTACATTACTTTGTATTGCTAACGATATTTTAAAGTGAACGGATAATTTTCGTGGAAAATAACTAAGGCAGATTGTCCTTGCAAAGAAAAATACACCTACAACGTAAAAAGATGCAAGATTGCATTTGTTTATACGTAAACCGCAGCGTGTGAAATGGCCGCAACGTTCGATTGACAGACAACTGCTCGCGTCGTTCGAAGAAATGGATATTCACTCACCGCCTAGAATTTCATCCGAGGTGAACTTTACGGTGGACGACATCACGATCCACACGCTTAATCACTCAGGATACGATAGGACACGCACGAATGGTCGGTTAACACTTTCGCGAAACACGTTAGCGAAAAAACGACGCATTCGCAACGAATCACCGTGGTAAAATGCTCAGTCAGACGCGCGACCGTGCTTTGTTTTGATGAAACGTCAACATACGCACGTCAGCTAAACCAACCAATCACGCCACATGCGCTTCAATGTAAATACAACTACGTGAATCAAAGCAGAAACGATGCCAATGACCATGATAGGTTCTTCTCACTACGTGACTCATTACACGTTCTTACCATTTCATTTGCTGTTGACATTTTGGAACGAACATCATCGGAAAATCTGAAACCAAATTTAATCGAATTATCGTTTTTAAATTTAAACTTGAATCTAGTTATGCAATAATTCGTAGCACGTATTTCGTTTCGATCGAGAATTCGAATTTTAATGATCTTTTTTTATTTACGCAGTCACTGAAGATCATAGCTTGTCTACTCACGTAGAAAAACAAAAGACGACGAATGAAAAATACATACTGTATTTTGGAAACTTAAATCTTAAAATAAAATTTATCCTATTAACGTTTTATTCGTTGACAAAATTAAAATTATTCTCTTATGTCTGATTCATTCATTTGAACTTTGCTGAAATCATAATCATTTAAATCGTTTAAGATGTTGAAACGTCAGTCAATAAGAGATTTAAAACCTGATTAAATATAACTAAACGTTATAACATTTGTATTGAAATAAATTGTGAAAATAATATATATTTATCAACTTTTGCAGCACAAAGTACGTTGCTCTTTTTATACATATGTACATACGTGGTGGCAGCACTATCCCAGTATTACTTCAAGGGTTAATTTGCGTTGCACGACACGTATTTTATCCATGAACTGCGTAAATCGTGTTTTCTATCATAAATTGTCCGAAACTACACTATTAAAAGGTATATTTACATTTTACACTTGTGAAATTATCATCTTTTCTTATAATAACAACAGATAGATGGTATAATTATGAATAAAGATTAATAAATATCGTTTCGTCGATACTAAAAGTAGACAGTTAAAAATGGTCGCCTTGTAACAAATCTGTCAAGCGATATTGTACCGTATCAAGTCGCTACGATGCAGTAAATAGTATAACTCTAAATTTTTAGTAGCCAACGTCTCCGATAATAAATTTGAAGTAAATGCAAGAATTCAGTTTTTACAACAACAAATATAATTTCATAGTTGCTACCATATGTGTAAACGAAGCCGTTGTTATATTTCGTTCGTATAAGAGTTCAAACTCCTCTTCCATAAACATTTTATAATTTTCAAACATTCTGCTAATGCTGACAATTAGCTAATAAAATTATTGAAGTTGTTAGCATTAAATTATTAATAATAATTTTTCATATAAAATTATTTCTTATAAAAATTAATGTAATTATTTATAAAAAAAATAGATACGTAAATACAATTACATAGATATAAAATCTGTATTAAAAATTGAGAAACGAATTAATTTGTTTATAGATTATTCACTGTATTGTTAAATACACATTTGGAATGAAAATGAAGATTCCAAATAATCGTTCAGGGAACGATTATGGAAATGAAACAGGGATTATCTCTTACATGGATAATAATTTTGAATCTGAAATCGATGTACAAGGAACAGAAGAAAGTGATTTTTCTGAATATCTTTGGATGGAAAATGAGGAAGAATTTGATAAAGAGGTAACTATTGTAACTATTGTCCTAATTATGATTGAAATATTATATAGCTACAAAATTTTTTTTCTTTTTTTTCTTTTTTTTTAATAAAATTTTAGTAACATAATAGTAATTAAAAATCATAGGTGATTCAACAATTAATGGAAGAGGAGTTAACAGAGGAATGCTTAAAAGCAATGTGGGAAGATGAAAGACAGCATGAACGAAATACAAATTCTATTGCTTGGTCCACTGCTACAAGCATGCCTGAGAATGGAACTGAACTTTGTCAACAGCTTAATAATCTAAAAATGCATGATGATCTTGCTAAGCAGGTATATACACAAATAAAAAATAATATTGTATTTTATATATACAGAATGTCATATAAGTAATTTGTTTTCAGAGTACTTTAAATCCAAATGCAGCTGAATTTGTTCCAGCATTTAAATCAGCAGTAACATCTGTAAGTACACCACCAGAAGTTACTGCAGAATCATCATAGAAGCCATACATTCATTTATTTAACTGAATAAAACATAGGCTATATATATGGCTAATGTTTACCATCTTCAGTAACAGTTGTATTAACTGAATTGCATTAAAAGTTAAATGACTGTCCCTACACGTACAAAGGTATAATGATTGTCAAAGCAGATAATACATAATGCTGTTATATGGTATTTACGAATAATGAAATCAGTTGCATAACCATAAATTGAAAAAAAATATATTCAAATTTTTATAGTTGTGAGATATTGCATAATATAAACATTTACTTTTATTATTATAAACATGTATTTTTCGGCGAATTAATAATGACATATACAAAAATCACTTGTTATAGAAATTTGCAATTTATATTTTTTATTTTTAACTGAAAAAAAATATTTTCAAAGGTAAATGTTTATTCTATACAACTTATAAATTGAGGCAGCAAAAAAATATACATATTACGAATTTTCATGAGTTACATGTATACACATTCAACAATGAATTCTTGCATCTAAGACATACCTTTTTTTTTTAGTTCTTTCAGAATGTTTCTTTTATTCTGATCTGAGAGTTTTTATATACTGTAATATGTGTTTCTAAATGAATCAATTTTCTAAGAGTTCCTTTTGTAACACTTATTTTATACTGGTGTACATCTTATGTAATCATTAACATAAATTAAAAATATATATATACAGAAGTCGTAAAGACTGATGCATTAACAATGCATCCAATATATATTTTGTTGATAAAAAAATACTTAATGCATCTAATTATATGAGAAGAGTTTTAATCTTTATTTTTATTGTCAGTTTTTTCATTTAAAAAAAAACCTATGTCATAATTCTGGTCCTCTATCAGCATATGTCTTGAAAGACTTGAAGATCTCAAGTGAAAGTCTTACACAGGCTGTGAAGGACATTTTTTCTGACTTTTTTGTAGTATTGAGAGTCAATGTATTACTTACTTCCTTTAATTAAGTAATAAAATTTCTATAAAATAATATTTTGAAACTAATTAAAATATGTGTATGAAATGTAATATTATTGAAAAATACTATAAGTGGTGAGTGTATTTTCCATTTTAATCAAAATTCAAATAACACAAATATAATTTTTCAATCCTTTTCATTACTTTCTTAACTGATTAAATTTTGTGAACTATCTTGTAAATTTCATAACAATGAAAGTTTTAAACAACAAAATTATATTTTAATAATAATTATACACGTTTGCCACTTATATGCTCTTTGGATACACGTGTTATGTACAAATTCGATTAACATTTTTTGCATTGTGATAGATACATACTGTCAGGATTTTATAAGATTGCATGAACTAAATTTGTATTACTTTAGTCACAACATACTTTACTATAAATGCAGCAACTGTGATTATGAAGTAAATTAAATAGATTTATCACATAGATTATTCACAGTTAAAGAATCTTATTGATTATATGCTTTACATTATTTTGCTTTTAAGTTTTT